TACATGTCTGTAGTCATCATGGTCATGCTGGTCGTTTCTGTGGTGCTACCGTTGCTGCTGTTCATCCCGGGCTTGTACGTGTCTGTTGTTGTCATCATGGTGATGCTGGTCGTTTCTGTGGTGCTGCCGTTGCTGCCGTTCATGCCGCCAGGGTGCATGTAAGTAGTGCTCATCATGGTCATGCTGGTACTTTCAGTGGTTGTGCTCATGTTGCTTCCATTCATGCCAGGCTTGTACATGTCAGTGGTTGTCATCATTGTCATGGACGTAGTTTCGGTGGTACTGCCATTGCTGCTGTTCATCCAAGGGTTGTACATGTCGGTTGTCATCATTGTCATGCTGGTGGTTTCTGTGGTTGTGCCATTGCTGTTATTCATCCATGGCTTGTACATGTCGGTTGTCATCATGGTCACGCTGGTGGTTTCTGTGGTTGTATCAGATGTGTCGTTGCTGCTGTTCGTCTGGCGCTTGTACATACTCGTGGTCATCATGGTCATGCTGGTGGTTTCTGTAGTGCTGCCATTGCTGCCGTTCATCCAGCCCTTGTAGATGTCGGTGGTCATCATGGTTATGCTGGTGGTTTCTGTAGTTGTGCCATTGCTGCCATTCATCCCGGGCTGGTACATATCTGTTGTCATCATGGTCAGGCTGGTCGTTTGTGTGGTTGCATCGGATGTGTCGTTACTGCCATTCATGGATTGCTTGTACATATTGGTCGTTGAGGTCATGGTCAGGCTGGTCGTTTTTGTAGTTGCATCGGATGTGTCGTTGCTGCCGTTCATCCATAGGTTGTACATATCTGTCGTCATGCTAGTCATGCTTGTGGTGTCTGTGGTTGTGCTGTTGCTGGTGTTCCTGTCAAGGCCGGACAAGCGCCGTGCTTGTGACAGTGTCCATGATCGTTGATCAACGATGCACCGTCCTAAGTGAGAGTGGGTTGGAGTCAACTGGCAGTGCTGTTCCACTGTCTGAGTCAACTGTGGGTACCTAGCTGGTTGTGGCCGTGGCACTGGAATCAATCATTTCAAGTTGAAAGGTTGACAATAAAACATGCACTCTGTATATGAAACCACCACGCAGCAGGTGGATAGGTTTCAAGATCACTCCAAGCAGCCAGAGGCAAACATGCGTCGATATCTGCAAGTGGGTGTCTTGTCACACCGCTCGGCCTCAGTTGACAGCATCAATCACAGAATGCAACACCAAGCTTTGTAGCGGTTTCTTTATACAATGCACAGGGCCCTGAAAGCCCGCTCCAAATCCTAGTGGGAAGAGTGTGGCATCATTCTGGTCCACCTTTTAAGAACCTTTGGCGTGAGAATATTCGCTGAGCTCTCGCTCTCCGAAGAATTTCCGTGATTCGTGAGTTTCCATCCCAGGGGCATCCTCGACAATCTTACTGCAAATTGTGATGTTGGCATTGATCGACTTGTACTCCTCCTGTGTGTAGGCCTGGGCGTCAAGGACCCAACTGCCGAATCTTGCGGGGCGATGTCTCAACAGTAAGAAACCCCCAAAAAGGAATCCCAATATATAGTCCCGGTTTGAAAAGAATCGTGGCAACTAAATATCGTTGGTGGTTGCGCTGCCAGGGACCTTTCCTTTTCTGGTCATGCTACCCGCCTTCCGTAGGAAGAAAGACCCACCAACGGAAGGCCACGCGTGCGACGGGGACTGTGTCACCTAGACCTAGACTCTAGACTTTGGCTCCCTGAAGTAGCCGCCAAAAGCCACACAAGGCACCAAACGGCAAAAGCATGCAAAAGCCACGCCCTCCACCAAAAGCCAAAGCTACAAAAGCATCAACCTGCTTTTCCCCCGATGCCTGGACTGCATGGACACACTCACACAGATCGATGATCTGTCTGTAGAACTTGTACAGAACATACTGTAATACAGGGTGTTGCTTGCCCTTTTGTGGGTTTCGGGTTGCTCTGGCAACTCTCACCCGCTCTAGGGCCCCCAATTTACAAATAAAGCCCTGATTGTTGACAAAAAGCCCAAGAAAGGCAACTCTTCACGAAACCAGTGGCGCTTGCACCCAAATCCTGTTTGAGGTTTGCACTTTCGCAACACCCGTGTTTGGGAGCATGTTCCCCAACTTCTCCGCTCAATGTTCAAGGGGCGGAGCAATGCCGTGCATCTGTCGGCTCTGCTTCATGCCGGTGAGTCATGGAACGCCAGCCCACCAAGTCCTTGTCCTGCAAGGCCACAAGGTTCCACCCGCGCTCTTCTCCCACCCTTCACCAGTCTGTTTCGTCGCCCTCGCACACCTCGAGGAGCCAGTAATGGTTGAAACCCAAAGACTCCGGCCAATAAGCCACAAAAGCCCCCTGTCAGAGGCGTTCCCTTTCATGACGTGCCCAAATGCGCATGGAACACCGGACCTCACATTCACAGCGGACGAGGAGATGGAACAGTCCATTGCTGGGGAGGCTTGGTCTCACCCAACCGGGTATGGTCCTTCTGGGTTGCAAATGGTCGACTGGACATCCACTGTAGCCATGGGAAAGCTTCCTAGATCGAGGCTTGGATATGTTTTGTGTGCAAATTCCGCCATGCTAGGCATAGATTCCTGTACGGGGACTCCAATCACCAGAGATGGATGCAAAAAACAAGCACTGCCAGAACCTGACATAGGCTGATGGAAATTCCTCCGTGCTTCGATGAAATCACCCTCAATAAGCCTGAGAGAGCAGTGACTGTCATCTTGAGGTAGATCCCATCTGCTCTCAGCAAAGCTTTTGTGAGAAGCAAGGCTTGAAGAAAGGATGGATGAATGCAATGAAAACGTTTCCCAGAATTGGTTTAAGGGAAAAGTCTGCAGGAAACCATTTAATTTTGGTGTGAAAACCGTGGTTCCCGTAGATGTTCCCTTAAACCACTTCTGGATCTTCTGGGGAACTTTCCCTTTTCCATCTTCTATGCATCTACTTCATCCTCACCTCATACCTCTGCCATACCTCTGGGGTCACCGGCGACCCCCGGTCGATGGAGCTCCGGTCCTTTGGAACATAATAATGACTTGGACGGATCCCCACAGAGGTATGCCAAGCAATGTAGTCCTCGGGAGAGAGACAGGGGGCCCTGTATTGGGCATGACAGCTGCATGATCCTCAGGACGTGTCCCGAGTCGGATCCGAAAGAATGATGGCGACTCTCCATCTTGACACGTCCATTTTGCGGAGTGATACAGCTCCGCATCCTGCCAACTTGTAACGTGATACAGCTGGAATGTTGTCACCTGAGACAGCATGCTTGCTGCCCAAGGGCATCTGCTGTTGGTCCAAATTGAACTGCGCAATCCTCATAAGAACCTGCAGCTGTGCGATGAACAAATGACAGCACAATATTATACTCCTCTGGTTTGCACATGCTAAGAAAATAAGAAACATTGACTACCCAAATATGCACCACTTGAGTCACTAGCCTCTCTCTCTCTCTCGGCAGGCCTAGAGCCTTGACCGCCAGCTGCCACTCGCTGCAAAAGCGCCGCATCTGTGAGGTCAAGTACAAAACTTCGAAAGTGTCCTGGCCAGTGGACCGACACAAGCTACCAGGCACCCTTCAAGTACAAACCTTTTCTTGGAGCTAGTGCCGCTGCGTGCCGCTGCCTGGCGCCTACTGGTGGTCTCTCTTTGTGGGTGCTGCGAAGAAATGAACGGAATGGATAGACTAAACCTTTGTCCCCTAGCTATATTATTTCACATACCAGTATGTTGACATGTGTTGACATCACGTTGCAGCCAAAGTCCACAAACCTCCACTAAAATAGAACTATATAATTACGCATATCAGCACATCTACAATCTATGTCTCTGCTGTTGTACTTGACTGTCATTGCCCCACGCAAAGTGACCGTTGACGCAGCAAAGCCACATAATGATGGTGTAGATCAACGTGGAAAAGATTCTCAGCTTGCAATACCGAGAGCTTGCACCTGGGCTACCCGCCGCTTTAGCAAACTGAAAGGCAGGAGTGCCTGTGTGATGCATGGGGCATGACCCCGTTAAAAACGTCAGTATATAGACGAACTTCAATTATCGTGTTAGACTATGTTCGGACTATTCTCCTGCATCCTAAATCCTAACCCCTTGTTAGTTGGATTTTCTGCTTTCTGCCTTTCCATATCCTAAGTGATATCCTATTTGGACAAAACGCCTTGACAGGTTATGTTCTTTCGGATCAAAAGTTGTGAACCAGCTTGGCAAAATAGATATCTTTGTGTCAGAAGGCGAAACACTCTTGCGCGTGGATTGACGAAAGATGTTGTTCCGCTTGCCAACATGTTTTCTCCAGGTGGAGTATGGGTCAAAATGTTTGTTGGACATTCACCTAGTGCCTACTCACACTGCATAACCAAACGTATGATGTATATATAAATTTTAAATAGATACAACCAGTACACATATATATATATAGATGTGGCCATACGGTAAAAGAGAAGAAACATCTTACAGCTCGAAACGGTTGACAGCTCCTTCCCAAGATTCTATAGATAAACATGTACCTTTTGTGTATATATAATATATACAGTACTCAGTAATGTATATACATGAAGTAGGTGCATTCGCAAAACGAGATGGACGAACTCAGGGTGTGAAAATGGAGTGTTTGGTGACGACATGTGCTGACCAGTCTATGGACCCCTTTGGGAGACACAAACAGGTTAAGCAACTGCAGTTCATTGCAGTTCCGCCGAAAGGTTCTCCTTTTGCGGGTGTGGTCACATCAAAACAGAAGCCGGAATAAAAGAACTACGGGTCCTGCACAAGGAAAACACCAAGACACTCGGGAGTATACCAAGTGCCTTTTATCTTTTAATTGACATCCTCCATTTCTTAAGTAGTGCATCCCTCCTGCACGGAAAGCTATGTATTTATATAACGCATTGTAATGCCATACATAAATAGTCAACAAGCGTGCATCTGCTTTTGAGAGCCGCAACAGTGCAAAGCATGACGGTGCATGACGGTGCATGACGGCAAATGCATGCCACTGATGAAGGACGAAACCGATGCACAACTAAAGCAAACCAAGTGGAACAACCATCAGTGATCCTTCCTTTAGTTTTTCAAGGAACCCATGTCCTCTGTACGTGGCGAAAGTTCGGTGGAGTCGGTGGAGACCAAGTCACCCGAACTTTGCAGTGCACTCTCTCGAGCTCGTGGTGATGTATGGTAGCACTGGCCGGCCTCTTCGAAGTGTGCGAAGAGGCAAGCTGCTTCGCCGGGAATGGAACAAACACGCGGCGAAAGACGATGACAAATCAATCCACTGGTGCCGCAGGGTTTTGATGTATACAGTGAACGGTGGATAGAGCTACAAAAACAATCCCATTTTGGAATTGACAGCTTCCGAGATAGTGACCAAGTAAGCGGAAGACATCTGCGGTCCCCAAACGCGCCCCTTTTCAGGGGATCGGCAACCCCCAGTAATGATGGAGGAACTCCGCGTGACACCTACAGGACCGGAGATGCTCCGCAGAACTGCTCGAATATCTGACGACCAAGTGGCACCAAGTGGTGCACTTTTGTTATCATCTCTGTTTGGAAGATCGTCAGTTCCGGATGTCCATTGACACCGCTGTGACCCCGTTTGGGGGCACAAACAGCAACAGATCGGGAAGCACCACCAAAGCAAGTGAAGAGGTTGGGCGTAGGAGGAGGAGGAGGCGGAGGCGGAAATCTCAAGCGGGTGAGTGCGATGGGATATCGAGCCAGTGTATGACATTGATAAATTGGTAGGTGTGTGTTGTGGGGGGGCCCTCCCACAACTGACTACCCAAAGTATCCCAAAGTTTATCCGTGTTTTCATATTCCTCTTGATCTTTGAGCAGCTGGTACATTCAACTGAGGGTTTTCCACCTGCATCGGCTTGTTCCCGACCGCGCAAGCATCGACCCGGCCTTCCTCAGCCAAAACATCGACCGGACCTGAGGCTCTCCCACGAGAGCCGAACGGAGCGGTGTCACCATTTGGATTCGATGAAACCAGCATACAAGCATACCAAGTTGACTTCGCCTCTCTTGGTCGCAAACCAACAAGGCGAAAAAATATGCTCATATAAACTGTTCGTATATATATGTATATAGGCTATATAACTACCAGGGCAATACCCCATGAGGATCCATGAGGTTGTTTCTGTTTACCAGTTTTCTCTGACTTGTATATAGATGGACGCTTTTTTGAAGACCTTCCCTGGGAAGTTGCACCTCGGATCTCCTTGCCAGTAGCCCAACCCAAGCATGTCCCCTTGGCCAAGAGGCCAGAGATGAGGTGGTAGACGTCGGAGAACGCCTTCGTTTCAGTATGTCCATCACCGGCGGAGTGTTGTTGTGGACAATAACAATGACTGATGGGGGGGTAGCAATTGAGCAATGGGTAGCACACGAATACCATGGCTCACACAACTGCTCGGATGTGCCTAGCTCAAGTGGAGAAATGTCTGCTCTTCCTGAACAACCTAACATGATCGCAAATCCTAGACCTTGTGCTCAGACATGGTTAGAAGGTGTCTGATCATGCTTTAGTTGTGTATGGTCTTGCACTCTGTGTAGGTCATCGCACGTAACGGTATGGTCACATCGGCACAGCTCCGACCCATCACTGTGCTCCACAGCCCCGGGAAAAAGACCGGTCAACAACACCGGATGATCTCTCCGGAGGATCCCTGGAAAACCATTTGTTATACCAATAATAAGATATAGTAAGCCTTCTGTCAATAGGTTCAGTGGAGAAATATGGAGAAATGAATTTTAAAATGGGTTTAGCGATTTAGCGGTTCATTGTGATCGACTGACTGGATAAATATCAGATGTCTTCCACCTCTGCAAGGTTCCGCCCAGGTCGGTCCCCGGCCAAAGAACAATTCCTCCCAAAACCATCCCCACCGCCACGACCAACGTCACGGTCCATCACGACGACCCCAAACAGTGTGGAACTCGGCCGCCACGCGAAAAACGTTGTGGTGACCAACGAGGCCATCTCACAGAGCGCCTTAGGCGTTTCGTGCGCCGTCCTTCCCGGCACTCGCCGAGCGATCGAGGTGGTAGAAGAAGACGAGCATTGCAACCCCCAAGTTGCCAGGGTTTACCACCCCAAATGGGGGGTGCTAATTTTCTTGTATCTACCAGGTCAATGATCGTCACTCAGAAATGGTGAACAAACATGTCACAAAGAGCCAAGTCAAATGAAAACAATCTGCAGGCACTCCTGCAGGCCTCTCACATTACGACCCTCCGTGAGCACCAGCCAAGCAACCAACTGGAACATGCATGTTGAGATATGACGCTGCTGGTGTAACAGCGAAGCAAAATCTATATAACATACCGTGGATGCGTTGCAACCTGATTGCCTTTGGCCCGAATTTCAAACACTCTTCTTGAAGCTGCGCAGGAAACATGGCGAAACGGATTTGGGAATCTTTGGTGTCCTGTCTTCCTGTCTCCCTGGCTGCACTGCTCTTCCGTCCTCAGTCCCTGCAGCCCAGGAGCCAGGTGCCTCTGATGCATGGCCTCGAGAACGGGCACGTCGCCGGGTCGAATGCCCCAGTACGCTCAGAATGGCCATGACGCTTTCAGTACTTTGGGGAGGGGTATGCTTGTCTCATCTCTAAGAATAGCGATGCCAGTTTCAGGGTGGCGAAAGTGAAGCGAAGACAGCTGCAAGCTGGTGGGTGCCCCCCAAAAAAGCAACGAATATCAATCATACACCAATTCATACCAATTCCATCCAATTCCGCCATGTGCGGGGGCTGACGGGGTGGTGGGACGGACAGCTTCAGAAAGAAAAGAAACATGTACACCCGGGTTCCGGAACCTGGACCAGACTGGGACGATTTTCAGTTCTGGGCGTGGTTCTCAGGTTCCATGTGGACCTCTTCCAGGGCGTATTAAATTCAAGACCACTGAATGGTAGAAAAGGAATTCCATTTTTTTATTTCCGGACTCCATCGGACTCAATAAACCTTGGGAACCCTCCAAAGGAGACCCGTTAAAAGTCGGAGACTGGCATAGATTCCTGAAGCCATTTCAGGTAGGTCAATCTTCCGTGCACACCATGTGTCTCTGTGAGCAGAATGTCCACGACCCCTTGTAACCGCCAGTTCATTAGGACCCCCGGAAGAGATCTTCCGCCACGGGTGAGCGTGGTTCAGCTTATGAAGAATTTGTATAATTGGTTCTGATGGACACTCTTCTTTCACAAATCTTTCTCGCAACTGTTTGCCGATTGGATTTCGGGCTGCATTCTGTGCAAACCACTTTTGCAAGCGTTCACAGGCAGGGCTGCCTTACATGAACCATGAGATGCTTTACTTACATGTACATGACTCCAAATACGAATCCGTATGAATCTGTGCTGTAGCGAATCTATAAAGAAGCTTTTGAATGCATTCACACATGACAAGTTCGCCAAACCTTTTGCCAAGGCATCATATTCTTATAGACCAATAATATCTCTGTTGAAAAAACAGGTTTATGGTTTGGAGATGTTTGTTTCGGGGTTGTTCAAGAGCGAAGACGTGCATGGAAGACTGGAGAAGACGCTAGCTGCGCCCGCCCGCATGCGCCCAAGCAGCTCGAGACCGTGAAGGTGCGAACGCTCCGTCGAAACGACGCAGAAGAACGAGGGACGAGTGGAGGGGGACGGCGAAGAACAACCGTTTGAACCAATCATGATGTTGTGGCCTTCCTATCTTATTTTATCTTATCTTACGTCCCGAAAACGAAAAGGATAACTGTTTATGGCACAACAGTGGATGAAACACTGACATGGCGGATGAAACCCACCCTCTCATGCAGGAAAAGACACCAAACAGTTTTGGAGGCCAAGAAACACGGGGCTTCAAAAAAGAACAACAACGTGCAGATGAGGTGCACTTTGAAAGAGAACATCTGTAGGCCCCCGCGGCGTCTCAATGGTCTCCATGGAGCCATCTGGCTTGATGGGCTTCTCGCCATAAGAGAGCACCAGGATCTTCCTGGCCCAGAAGTAGTTTTCAGAGAGTGCCATGCAGAAGGCGTTTGGAGGACAGCTAGCACAGTGCAAGTCAGTGAACAAGCCTGGATGAGCGCTGTTCAAAAGGATTACGTTTGATGAGGCGTTGATGAGCGTCGTGCTGTATCGAGCCAAAGCGGCTCCAAGTCTTCAACAACTCTTCTCCCGACTTGGCATGGAGAACCGGCGAAAGCACTGGCCTGAAAGGATGTCTTGACCTGATGGTTGCATTGAGCCCGTCGTACCTGGCAAGATAAGGCATGGCTCAAGCCGGCATCACAATTCATAAGCCCAAAGCTTGACCTCAAATCGAAAACTTATCACTTCCTGGTCGAAAAACTTGACGATCCAAGTTGTTTGTGTTCCTGTGTTCCAGCCCCAGTCGCAACAACAGGAACCGTGCAAGCTGAGTTACAACTGTGACTATATAATCTATATACTGGAGAGTTGTTGAAAACTGGAGAACTGCAACCTGGCTGTATCTTTGTGTTCTTCTCTCTTTCTCTTCTCCTCTCTTCTGATTCCTCTGTGCTTCTCTGTTTGCTCATGCTCTCCACGATCCTTCCCATTCAGTCCATGTAACCCGTTCGTTCTATTCGATCAACCTCAGCTGACCCTGTTGCTTTGTGGCCAAGCAGGTCGAATTGATCGACCTCGCTGTTCCTTGCAGCCAACCCCCCCTTCTTGGCCCAGCGGCGCAGGCTGAGGAGCTGCAACCCCAAGCGTGAGCTCATCCTGATGAACACTTCGCAGGGCTTGGCAAGTCACATGTCTGTGCCTCACCTCTGCCGTCCTTGAATTGGGTATCTTATCGTATCAAATATCATCCAATGGTATCGAAGGGGGACAAAAATGCCCCAGGATCATCCAGGATCCAAGGTCGTCCTAACACTAGCCGTCTCACAGTCTCACACCCCAATAGAAACAGTTTCACACGTCTAGGATTTACTTACAAGATCTTTAAACAATAAACCAAGAATAGATTGGAATCCTATACCAAAATGTTTTGCAGAGATGTTGTGTTCAATCTTATTATTGAAATATTACTCAACTCAACTGTTGTACAGAACTGGTCAAAGCAGTGAGTGGTACAGTGCCTAGGCCAAGTCCATTCTCTGCACCTAGATCGGTCTGTTTGCTGAGACCCAGTTCAGAAAGAAACACCCGCTTCACCGAATCTACGGCTCCCTCAAAAAGGCGTCAACAGCCGCAGGACTGTCCGCATCCTGCGAGTCCATCTTTGGGTTCATCCCAGATCAGCGAACGGACTGTCCTCCAGGTTCTGGAAAATGTTGCTCAAGGATGCCTGCCGCACGTAGACACCTGTCTGAAAGCCTCAGTCTCAAATTACAACACCTGCACTAGTTCACTCAAGAAATTGCCCTTTGACATGGTGTAAGCCCGTCCCGTTCTTTTGCCACCATATTCAGATCCATCAACTCGTGTAAATGCCCTAGCCTCCACAAATGATGCACAAGCAGCACGAGCATGCAAACTTGGCAGCTTCTGAACACTCTCGCTCGACAAGCGGGCTTTGCAGGCAAGCTTCTATGATTCAGCAGGGTGCCAGCAAAGCTTCCTCAAATCGTTCGAGTCAAAATCAGCCCATGATGGGCATGAAACCCATACAGTGACACAATGATTCATAGAACAAGCAGCTGGGGCACCAGCACAACATGATTTCAAGTCACAGAGTCACACCATGTCACACCTACCTATACAGATATACATATCTACGGGTGAGAATTAGAATAGCGACACCCTCACCTGAGAAGAAGGGAAATAGACCAGTCTACCCAGCCAGGGCCAGGGGCTCTCCCTATTAAAATGCACACTAATATATACATAACATTACATACACTGGCCTTGCTCGCCGTGCAGTGGAGCATTCAGGGTCACGACTGTGGCTCCAAGCTAGTGAGGACTTGTCCTAGTACCCACAACCCGATCGATGCGCAAGACTGATGGCACGGAAAGTAGAAAAGGGACGGCACTTTGTGGTAGCCTTGGATCAAATGGTATACAAAAGCAAAGCATTCAACTTATGTTGCACCTTGCTCAAGCTCAAGCATGATTTCTATGTATGTGTACCATGCACGATGCTTCAGAGGGTACGAGTCATGACGCCAAGGTTTAGTGTCCCCCAAACAATTCACATACAATTCACTGCAAACGTTGGATTAGCTTTGACATCCTGCCAGTTGCTGACAACGGATGAAAAAGGCTGAAAACGGGGCCTCATCCCCGTGAGAGGCAAACGTAGCCAGGTCTTCATTTGGCTACGGCTCAAGACCTACCTTTCCCAGTCAGCTCCAGCACTACGCCCAAGACCTTTGTGAACTGGCCACCACCCGGCTTGACCAATGTGAATACATGCAACCTTGACCTACTTCCGCAGGTGAAAGACGAAGAGATAAACTGATATAATTGATGGGAGATGATAGGAGCCCTAGTAGCGTCCTTGCTCCTAGCAGCGATACCCTTTGCTCCTAGTAGCTTCTTGTTCCTAGCAGTAAGGCCATGAGCCCCTAGTAGCTCCTATTAGCGTCCTGGCCTTGTGTAGACTAGACGCAGATTCCTTTTCACAGATGTTCATTTCCCCACCCATGGCCCAGTCGGTTTGATCCTCGCCCTCATCGGCCCAGGTTAAACAATACCCCAGTAATGCCCCCGTATCATCCTGTGTCGGCTCCTGGCCGTACTCCTAGGAGCTAGGCCAAGTGTCCGATGAGCGTGGAATCGTCCTTGTAAGGCTCTTCATCACCAGGCACTAGGGCTGCATAAATGCCCCCCAGTGGGTCAACGCCTCACAACATGGGACAAACCCCATGTTAGAGGCAACAAAAAGAGTTGGAGCTGCGCAGGTGAATGGTGATGTCATGGTTCGCAATGCTTCACATCTTCTTCCTGTACATGTAAAATGTGTAGATCTTCGGGGTTGCCGTACCATCACTGATAGATTCAAGTGCAGGTGCTGATACCACCCAACCACCATCTGATGCGTTTTGTATGCTGAAACACTTTGAAACCGCTCCTTCAAAGTGGCTTCGGAAACTCTTGGACATGAAGCAACAATCATGGAAGTGGGTTGCAAAAAGCAGTGTTCCTTCTGAGTCATTTGTGCTTTGCCTCTTTGTGCTGCCCGGGTGATGTTGCCCATCCGCAAGTCGAAAGGAATGACTGCAAAATCTTCCTGGGCCGCAGTCTGGCACATGGTTATGCACCCCGCAACAAGCCCATCGGTTTCATAACGCAGAAAACAGACTCACCCACCCCTAGGCTTCCATCGGTTTATATAATGATGTTGAATGTAGGAGCGGGGCGAACGAAAGCTGTCAGCTGAGGTTGAAGACAGGGGATGTCTATTATCAGTTCATCATCTCAAAGGCTACTAAACTTGTCACCAAGAAAGAGGAGTGGCCATTGCAATGCTTCACTATTCCGGGTAATTTACACCAGGATACATCAGGTGAGCCATGCTGAAAACCTTGATAGATTCCTATGTCGTAAGAACTGCCTTACGCGAAAACTTACGCCGCGCTTACGCGACCGCAGTTTCAGCTTACGCGGGGGTGTTGCTTACGCCGCTGCTTACGCCACCTTACGCCATTGCAGGCTTTGCTTACGCAGCATCGATATGACATAACTTGGAAATGTCTGGCTTACGCCAAAGCTTACGCAGAGCTTACGCGACCGCAGTTTTAGCTTACGCGGGGGGAGGTTTTCAGCATGGCTCAGGTGATTCCGGCAAATGTACTGACTGCATTGAGCTAGCGGTAGGACTGCCGGTCTCAACCGATGGGTTTCTTGACCAATGGAACACCGTCCAAGGATCCACGTGGTGCTCTCTTTCCAGCTGCCCATGCAACCACTCCAGCCAGGGGTGCCGCAAGTTGTAGATGGCGTTGCCTCAATTCGACCGCCCTTCTTCGCAACTCCATCACCCAGTGACCACTTCGTCCTCGTTTGGAGATCAGCTGTGAAGGAAGATTCTCTACATGGCCAGTTTTGGATGTCGATCATAGCACCGAAAAGTGCGTAAGGCGTAAGGCCAGTCATTTGCAATTGGCAAGCTCAACTTCTGCATCTCCGACATCTGCTTCTTTGGGCTTTGACATCTGCTCTTCTTCTTCTTCTTCTTCTTCTTCTTCTCGCTCTTGGCCGCGTGTGCTACGTCAGGACAGAACCCTCCGCGGACCTCTCCCACCTAGTGGGCAGGTCCGGCCGCACGAGCACTGAGTGGAGACCTCCATCACCGCACCTCTATGCCTTCCTCCTACCGGTGATCTGGAGCGTGGCCGGCACAAATGGTTTCCATGGATTGGCAAAAGAGTACGGAGAAAAAAGCGAGATGAGGAGTCAGTATGTTTCTTTTGAATTGGATTTTGCGTGCCAAAGTTGACTTACGTTGCAACCTGCATACTATGGCACACACACAAAAAGAAACACCGGGACCATCTGAAATCCGGGGCCTGTGCCATTTAAAGAAAGCCATGCTGCCATTGAGATGGAGAAGCAAATCCTCTGGCACCTCGATTGAATCCCAGCGATCTCCTGGAGAAGTGCCACCAGTCATCGTGCCACCCCTCTGCACCCTGTTGTGTTGTCGCGTCTCAGAACGGGCAATGCCACGTTGTCGTGACGTCTCCGGATCGCCGCTACTTAGCGCATCCCCCTTTACAAATGGGGTCCGTCAAACAAGGGGTCCCAAACATTCTTGGGATGCTCTGCTACTCGTGCTACTGCTAGAACCGCCACCCACTCGCCGCCAACCTCAAGGCCCGACCTGCCCCACCTGCCACAAATACCCGAAGGCTCCCCGGTGAACCGGGTCCCCTCCATCCGGTCCTCGGTAGCGACTCCCACGGATCGCCGCACGTGGGTAATGAAGCGCCTCTTGGATGAATTGATCGATCCAGGACTCCTGTACTGGCACGGCGTCCGTCTCCTGAGCATCGCGCATCGAGAGAAGAAAGACGAGATCGTTCGTGTTTTTGGGCGCTGCCCGCCATCAGCGTGTGAAGTCAACAGAGCCTAACAAAGCCCCTTTAGAGGGAGGGAGATGTTGATCTGAAGTCCTGAGTCCTGGCGCTGGAGGGTAGCGTCTCTTCCCTTTGTTTTGTTTCTTCTTCAGGGTTGGAGGATGAAAACATAACACATGAAAAACACGCGGGTCAGTGACAACGACACATCGAAATTTAAAAAAAGCTGAACATAGTATACTTGTATGCTACTGTAGACTTGTCATCTTTGTATCGATGTGATGTTTGTCCCTTGACTCCGGCCTATCTCTCTCACTAAACTGCAGCTCGGCGCACCTTTGGGTGTTAGACAGGCAACAATATACAGCCTTCAGTTGGTTTCAGCAGATTTCAGCCTCGAGTTGTTGAGGATCATCTTTGACACATATCCCTGAGATGGAAAGTCGAGTCAATTGAATCATCGCAAAACATGACGAAACGACCTCTATCTTTTGAGCACAGCACCCTTTCCACGCATACCACTGTCTGCGCGTCTGCAAAGCAAATCGCTTTTGGCTGATTCAAAACTTCGAACTGAGTCTAAGCTGTCATCCTGGAGATTTTGAAGTAGAGGACGGATTCTGGGAAATTACAAGACAATTGCATGATATAGCGTGTGGGAACATGTGGCATAATTATGTCTGACAAGTCTCAAAATGCACAATGAACGAGGAGATGTTCGCAAAACAGCAGACAATCACACACACATTATATATATATATATACTCACATGTTTACATTTATAAGAGTTGTGCTTTTGGTCACACTCCTTGGGATTGGTTGACCTTCGTTGACCTGCTGTATGTGTATATATCATTGTATTGCTGTTGTATGTGTGTATATATATATATACATCATTGTCCTTCTACTCCAGGATGGTAACCTGGTAGAAAGCTGAAACGCTGCATGGCTCATTGCAGACTCGGATGCCCCACGTCCAGTGACATGGGGGATCCTGAACTGTTCGATACCACGGGTCCCAGCGAATGCAGACCTGAAGTCGAGTTGGCGCGCGTTGTGAAGATCCAAAAGTCCTGAACCTTTGGCCAGCACCTTGCCGATTTGGGTAAGTCAACGGTGCTCTCCATGTTGGACGCATGATTGGATCGAGCTACATGACTCGAAGAAGTTTCTCTGCACACTTTCGCATGATCCACTGACTTCAGGATGTTGATTTCTTCAGAAGTTTTGGATCAAACCGGCCGTCCGACTGCATGCTTTGCGGTAAGTGGCAGCACGTACTCATAAACACTCCACTTACCTTCATGATTCTAGAAAAGGCACTTCAGAACACTGTACAGCTCAAGGTGCACCTGCTCAGGTCGTTCGACTGGCAGGTGCAAGCACCGGAGAGAGAGAGAGAGAGCATGAGTTGTGCCACTCCCAAACTCACCGCCCCGGAACAGGGGGAAACGGTGCGGCTGCGCGGCTCGGCTTTGGGCAGCCGAAAACCACCTCAGTAACCACCTCATGGGCCACGTCGCTCGGCCACCTGCGTCGCCAGCGCGGCCCAGGCCTCGTCGCCTTTGCTGTCCAGGAAGTGCCGAAGCCGTGCTTCGTAGCGGCGCTGGGTGGGAGCAATCGGCGGCATGCGGGGACAGGTGCTGCCTTCGCAAGACATGGAGTGGAAACTCTGGCGAGGCTCGGAGAAGGCACATGAGGATTCCTCATAAAGACGTCCATCTTCGTCCTGAGTGGGCAGCACTGTCACGACTAGACAAGGCAGGATACACTGCACTGCACATAAATAGGACTAAACCCTAGGGATCCAAGTACCTTCTCAGAAGGTACTTGGACCCTCCAAACCTACATAGCAGTGTCTCCAATCACCTTCTGAGAAGGTACTTGGATCCTTAGGGAAATATAGTATAATATCAAACCGAAGATTTTACGCCGTCAGAGTCTCTGACCGTATTCAGACCCTCAAAGAAATAAGAAAAAAAGATGAAAACACGGATTCTGGCGAAGGTCACGCAGGCGAACGCTGGTCTTCCCAGAAGTGGTCACGCCGATACTCTGGACCTGGAAGCTGTGCCCAGGTCCAGCAGCGACTGGTGCCACACTTCCACAGCAGCCCATGTGGAAGGAGCAATGCACGCGCCCTTTCTTGAACCGACTCAAGAGAAGCCCTGTTTGCTCCAAGCATGCCCACATAAGCCCCAGGTATCCCTGAATATCCACCCGAGTTTCGGAGTTGAAAAGAACTCTGGATGTACTCGAAGGGTCGTGGTCCAGTCACCTTTTGACCTTGAATGTGACCTCGTCTCTCCAGCCTTTTCCCCCGGCCAGGCATCACAAAACGACCATCTTCGAGGAATCCCAACAAACACATCAAAGCATCCACTTCTGCGGACGCTTGACCACAGCCCAACACTGGGCCTCGAAAAACGCCTCCCAACGCCCCTCATGGCCCTGTCCAGCTGCGGCAAAACGACTCAAATCGGCTCAAACGAGACTCATACTTGGACTTGACCTTCCAACTGTGCAACATGTCTGCCTCTTGATCCATCAAAACCAGCCAAAAGGCAAACATATTGCAATTAGTCGGAAGACCCAGGTATACCTTCTCATGTGCCCAACTCGTGCTTGTGTCCATCTAAACCAGAGGCGCCATAAAGAAGAAAGCATCATAGGTGCCAGCACCTGCGCTTCCTCCATAGAAATAGCCTGAGCGACGCGGGGTGTGGTTTCACCACCCACTCCCCTCAAAAAAGGAGCACCATGCGAAAGTTGATCTCTCCGACTGCTCGTCTGCTTGTTTCATGAGGTTTCATGCAACCAAAAGAAACCCGCGTCCCTTCAAAGACCAGTTACTGGACCCATCTGGACCCCTTCACTCATGGCATGACTATCCCTCATGCTTCGCCCAGTGACGCAGCACCCAGCGGAAGGCCGCGTTGCGTCGGCCTGGGATGGCCACCGAACTCGCCCGTTTCGCGCGGTTCCCCGAGCGGAGCCCGCGAGTGGTTTCTCGTCGTTGGGCTGTGTGCCGGTGCAGTGGCGAAGTGGTGAAGGGCAAGGGCATCGCTAGTCACAAGGGCATCGCGAGTAGTAGGTAGCTTCATGCGAGTAGTAGGTAGCGATGATGCACTTGTTCCTATAGTAGCGCAAGGAATATACTTTCGAAAAAGAAAAGGTGGGAACACATGGGATGAACATATGCTTCCCTTGCATGAAAATCCATATTGCACAGTTGGAGTACGAGATGCAGCTCCACTTTACAAGCGAAAGGTGTTCTCAATACTTGCCACGCAGTTGCAACTCTGAAAGGCTATATATATATATATGTGCTTTCTACTATGATAGTGTGATTCTTACAATCCGCGCAGCTAATAACGCATGCGAAATCCCTCCGAATGCCGCATGAACAGCAGCCTTGCTTGCCAAGCGCAGTCTCATGGATCCTTGCCAAGCGAGTCGACGGCGGGGCTCCGAGTACCAATAAAACTCGGATTAGGATTTTCTCATCCAATGTTGTTATTACTAGCAGCGATGGCCTCCACCTAGTATCTTCTTGTTACTAGTAGCGATGGCCTCCAACCTTAATGGCGATGGCCTCCTCCTGGTAGCTTCTTGTTCCTCGTAGCGATGGCCTCCGACCTTAATGGCGATGACCTCCACCGAGTAGCTTCTTATTACTATATATATAGTAGCGATGCTCCAACCTAATAGCAATGTCCTCCACCTGGTAGCTTCCGAGTAGCGCTGGCCTCCAACCTAATAGCGATGGCCTCCACCTAATAGCTTCTTGTT